TTCACTTCAAAGGCAGCTGTCAAGTCATCAATCACTATGCACAATCCACTCATAGTAGGGTAACGTCCATAACCTAAATATGACTGTAAAATCTATAGACGATGAGCTCTGGTACCCAGCATGTTGAGGTTTCCATTTCTAGTCCTCTTGAAGTTGTATTGACCAATAATGTTTGAGCAAGCTGTGCTTCAATTACAATAAACAGTCAACAAACTAATTCCCCAAAATGCAGCCTCATAAATCTGTCAGCCAGCAACACATTTAGTTTTTTTATTATCTTTGTCTTTGCATGTGTAAAAAATGAGCAGCAGAAGACCTGGCCTGAGTATCTGGTGGCTATCCTTCAAAAGGCGATCCATTCAGAGAGATTGCATTATGGGTAACACAGGCACCAGGTCTAAAAAAACAAACCGAAACATAATAAAATCTTTGTGTTTTGGGTGAAATGGCCCTTTAATTGTGACAAAAAGAGGCACTGCACTGATGGCTTTATCACAATATCTGTGCCCAAACTCACACTGACCATTTAACATCTATTAATATATACACAAGAAGTTCATAAGGTGTCCTATGAGACCCATAACAGCATCTTTATTTGAACAGAAGAGCTGCGCTTCAACAATACTGAGAGGCTGACAATATATTCATTTCTGTATTTACAGTTTTCTTCAGACAGCAGCAATAAGCCACATTTCTTTAAAGAAACACACTTCAGTCCTTAAATGGCATTTATTTTTTGAAAAAACACAACACGAACTTTTGTAAAATGCTGCTCACTTTGGCTTCCAGGTGTTAAAAAAGAAAAATCTTTGGTATTTTTTCTGTTTATATAAAATAAGGTTTGTCATAAGACATCTTTTTTTTTCAGCTGAAGCTGCCTTTTTTTAAAAAATGTTGAAAATGTAACGCACTGAAATTCAACTCGAAATAAAAACCCTGAAAAGCGAGACGAAGGAAAAATCGAGCTCTGATAAAAGAGGCCCGTTAAAAATGCATCAGCAGCACGCAAAGGGTGTGGAAAACAAATATTTCAGCATGTTTACAAGAGTTCAAACACACAAACATTCCCAAGTCGCTGCTTTTAGCCATCAAATCCTCTGGTGGGTTTTGCCCTCGGGAGTTAAAAGCAGCTGAAGCCCCGCGGGCGTCACCACACAGCCTGCTGGCTCCTCAGTCTGGATGACAGGTCTGTGACGGAGACGCCAGTACCGCTCTGCGCACACAAGGGGGCGGTGTTTAGTTGAAAGCAAAGCATCCACTGTAAACAAAGGTTCGTCTGGCAGGACAGACTCCTCGCCCCTGCTGTGTTGGTGGTCTGCAGCTCTGATTTTCAGAGATAAAATTAGCCGTTTCTTCATCAACCCTGGAGCGAGCAGAAGGGAACAATTTGCTCTGCTGCTCTGACGCTGTCACTGAGGGCTTCTCCTGGGGGAGGGGCAGGGCGAGGGGGGGCGGCGCACCGGTGGCAGGTCGTAGTGTCCCGGGATGTGGCTGTTCACCGGCAGGTCGTAGTGGCTCTGTGGGTCCTCATGAGGAGCGTGGCCGTGGGAGCTCTGACACTCTGAGGGGGAAAAGAACTCGCTGTGAGGACCAAACAGGCTGCCATTCTTTGTTTTAGTGCTGGAAAATATGCTGACTCTATTTTTTAAATAAAAACCCATCTGTGCATTCAGTCCTGCTGCTTTGGACTAGACTGGATGAGTTGGTTTGGCGTTACAGTCTGAGCTTACTCTGTGCTCAGTGTTTAATTCAACTTGTTGAACTCGGTCCTAAATAAAGCTTTCTAAAAGCCCACACACTCCAGGGTGGAAAAGCGTGCATTCACCCTCTGTTTAAATTTAAATAACATCATCTATAAATCGTTTAATAAGAGTCTAGCTCTCAGATGTGGGCACCCTGAACGAGGATATTAGCAAATAAACTAAAAACATCAGTAACAAACAGCAGTGTCGCATAATCACGTCGATGTCATGCCATGAAGTGGAAACACCTCCCTGTCTTTACTCTTTACTGTTCCTTTTATGTTTATAAACCCTTTATTACATGAACTGTGTTCTGGATCCATGCCAGAGTATTTAAAGACATTAAAGGTAATTTCGTTTATTATGACATGCGTACTTATTGTAGAATATACTGCAGAAAAAGTTGCTGCTCAGAATCCATCTCATCTACAATCGTTTGTATTTAGCTGCAAAATGTGCTGACGCAAAGAGTTTTTCCAAGCTTAATTTTCAACATCAATTTTAGTTAAATTAGGCTAGACTGGATTTGTTTGCACTTTGCTTTTCTTCATTTCAAAAGTCTTGTCTGGATGTCAGATCTTAAAAACCAGCTACAAATGTTGCAGTCATACAGAGAAGAGAATAGTGATTTAAACAACAGAGCGGCCACAAAGCTGGCTCTGTCATTACAACCACAGTCTTCTGTTTCAGGTAGAGTGAATGCAAATTGCAGTGATTTGTCTAAGAAAAAAAGACTGGACTCAATCCAATATGTGGATGAATGTAAGGATTTGATCCCGCAGACCTACACTTCGTTCCTCTGACTGCATATTGATGCATTACTAGTGTCCACAATACAATAAAAGCTAGGAAGAAAATCCTTCGGCTTCCTGTTTTTCCCTCTCCTCTCCCCTGCCCTTCCTCTTCCTTTAGTCTTTTATTTGTGGCAAACAGATGTTGATTCATTGGTCCATGACCTGAGGAAGTCTGGCCTGCCCAGCTGTCTAACAGGCCACAGACCTGTTTTAAGGTTTGACTGATAAGGACCTTAAAAGAGTTGCTATTTTTTGTTTTTTCTCCCAAAGCGGGTGGATCCATGGTGCCGTGGGTAGCACTGTAGCCTAATAAACTCAAGTTAATCCAAAGAATTATGTAAAATCAACTACAATATTGGGCCACACCTCTTAATCTTTGAATTCAGGTGTTTTTATCCTGTTGCCACGCTTGTATAAAACCATGTAGTCAAAAGAACGGATTGTTCTACAGATAAAAATTCATAACATCAAGGAGTGGGATCAGCAAGTGCTAACGCTCTGCAGGGTTCCACGTCTCCTCTGGCAGTAACATCAGCACAAAGACTGTACCAGGAGCTGCACGGCACAGGTTTCAGCTGCTGTAGGTGTAATGTGGTCCAGTATTTTTGTCCCTATAGTGTAAATCGCAGTTAGTTCCCACCTTACGATTACTTTACAATTCCTAATTTTAAAAACTCATAGTTCTTATTAAAATTAGCGTTAGAGTAGCTGGATCCAAATAGACTGGTTCATTCAAAAACACACACAGACCCACTGATGTTTGTATGATGGAAATATTGGACGTTTAACCATAACAATAACTAAGAAGGTTGTGGTGAAGTGTAAAACACTCCTCGGACTTGCAGGAGGTCAGAAGTGTTGCTTACCTCTGCGTAAGGTGGCCGTGTGGAACGGCGGCGGGGGCGTAATCTCGGTGTACGCGCGCTCCCTGGGCACGGCCGACTTCATCTCCATGTAGCTGCTCTCCGGGGGGCAGAAGGGCAGGGGCAGCCCGGGCAGGTCTTTGATGGTGGCGTACGGATTCTCGCTGTTCAGAGAGCTGCTGCTCACGGCTGCCGAATCCTTCAGCTCTGCAGGAAACAAATATTGAGAGATTAACTGCATATGAAGTCCATGCAGAGCGAGAATGGAGCATGATTGAGAGTTAAAGCCTAAGCCTACTAGATGAAGCATTCACTCCATGAAAAGTGAGATTTTCATCAGTATGCAGCTCTGTAAATTGCTGTACAGCTGCAAGTTAATGACTGTTGACGTAAATTTGTAGGCAGCACAAAGGACTTCCAGTAACTGTCGAGTACTGACATGGAAATTGAAATTTCTAGCAGTTTTACAAGCCTGAGAATTCCTCTGGGCTCAGGAGACAAATCATGACAGTAGAGGACGACGACAGCTTCTGAAGTTTCAGCTTTCTTTATAAAGTGCTGATGATCTTTTACAGCAATAAGGAATCAGCTTTAGTTTAATTGTACGCTGATGAAATTGTAGGTTTAACAGATCTGCCTAAAGTAAGTGAGCCTGTTGAGACGAAATGTGTTTTTTTCCATGAGCAATATTCAATAATGATATTTAAATAATCCAAAAAGCAGCTTCAGACTTCTTTGTCTCTTTATGGAACGATGCCGTGTTAGCAACAAAC